ATAGTATAGGTACATAAAAACTAGTAACCAAACAGTTTCCTTGATCTACCCAAAGCCCTAATTAAATTTTTTCAAAACCCATTCCAGGCCTGCCATCCATCTCCCTCAAGTTGCCAACATCCCCCATCCCAGATCCTCAGGCTCCCGGGTGAGCTGGAGTGTGCTTTTCTTTCAGGGGTGTTTGTCCTTTAGCAGTGTAACTAGAGGGCTGGGGACACCCAGTCCCTGCTCCGAGGAACAGGTACAAGAAGATGCCAGAAAAGTCCAGGAACCTGGTCCTACTAGGTAAGAAAACGTTTTGGGTTTTTTAAGATTTGAATTCTGCTTGTTGCTAGCTTCCTTGGTTCTGAAAAGCTTGCACTTTCTAAAGTGCTTCTCTCCCTTCCTTCTCCATTGCTGTCAAGTCTACCTACCCCACTAGGTTTCAAAGACGGCCACATCCTTCGCCCACGGAGCTGCTGGCAGATTCACCCTCCGCCTCCCAGCTGGCCGCTGAGTGCTTGCTCACTGTGCCACCAGGGCGCCTTTCCGAAGCGCTCAGTGATCTGGAATTGCTCTGATGCCCCTACGGGAGGGAGAGCGCTTACTTCTCCTTGTTCCCTGGGGACTCTGGGCAATGTCATCTTCCTCCTGAATGCCATTGTCCGGATTGTCAGATTCCCTAGGGAGGGAGGTGGTTTGTGGGTGCGGGATGGGATGTAACCACGTTATCAGTTCTTCCAGGCTCCAGTTTCTCAGGAGAAGCAACGTGGAATGTGGATGCATGAAAGAAATAGCTTAGTCCTCATTAATCACATGAGTTCTAGGTAAACCATTAAATTGTTTCCATATCTGAAAAACATGGACGCTGAAATTTTAATTAATAAACATTATGACAAAAAGTTCTCAATCTGGAGTGTATGTAAGCCATGAGTTTCCTGAATAGGCTTAGCTTAACCTTTCCTTGACGTAGTAGTATCTTTAGCTCCTCCTAGGAGTGCTTTAGCAGGACCTTGAAACCAGATCTGTCTGTTGACCAGTCTGTCCCCTAGTCCCGGACGTCAGATAAGTATGCAGTGGATAGTTGAGTGCATTACATGACTGACCTCCCTAATTGGGCTGCATCATCTCCCCTGCAGATTGGTGTACTGGTTGCATGTTGGACTGCTAGCTTACTCGATTCTGAAAAGTTCGAAACCACCAGCCGCTCATCCGGAGAAAGACAGCACAGCACTTTCTACTCGTAAATAGTCTCAGAAACCCACAAGGGCAGTTCTACCCCGTCCTGGAGGGCCACTGAGTTGGCACTGATTCAAGGCCAGTGAATTGGTTTGCTTGCAGTACTTACTCCAAATCTGTAAGCCACATACTGTCCCCTTTCCTAGGACTTCCAGGCTCCCAGCCTGGCTTGAACTCACAATTGGAACAGAGAAGAACCATGGGTGCTGGGAGGAGCAGCTGTCCAGGTGGTGAGCTAGCACTAAGCCCATCTTGGGAACAAAAGCCCCTTTTAAACCCGTATTAGTGCATTTGCTTATTGTCACAGTCCTCTGGGGTAGGTGTGAGCCTCATTTTACAGGTGAGAACATTGAAACCCAGAGGTCACCTCCATTGTTCAAAGCTTCACAGCTGGAAGGTGGTGACCCTGAGATTTGAAGCGAGGCTGACCGGAAAGCCCCTGGATCCTCAGTTCCCTGGAATTGGGAGATGTCTGTGGACACAAGTGGTATCACTGGCCGCCAGATTACCCTTCCTTGTTTGGGGGATTGAATCAGTGTTAGCCTTGCACATCCCCTGCTTGGGCTCACCTCACTGGGGCTTTGGGTGCCTATCTTTACCCATATCTCTAGCTGTGGCAACTTCTGCCACCACCCTTACCTAGTGTTGAAGTGGATTTCACTCCCCTCCTCCCGCCTGCCAGCATGACCAGGCCAGAACCTTCAAAGAATTGATGCCAAAAAACTCTGGAACAACAAAAGGATGGGGAAACAGATACTGCTTGCTCCTAGTCTTCGCCTAAAGGTCTCACTGTACCCTACCCTATCTGCCTGTGCTATTGTGACCCCTTCTCAGGACCTCAGTGCTTACCTCTGAACCCAGTTTTGAGAAAGCATGAGAAGTAAAAATGACAGACCAAGTTTTACATCTTTTTCTAAAGACAGCTTTGTGCTTATTTGAGTTACCAATGAGAATAGTTCAGAGGCTGGACGTACATGCTGCATATTCCTCTCAACTGCCGGGGGTTCTCCTTCCTCGAAGCAGCATCCTCACTGAAACCGCCTTTTCCAGGGAGTCTGGCCAGCCCTCTTGTTTCCTTCTCCGTTTGCCCTTGCTTGGCATGTTCTTTTAACCCATGTGGAAATTTTAGAAATGTTGTGGCTAGGGGAACAACTGCACTTTCCCAGTAAGGTTTATCAGTCACAGAGCACTGTTCGGTTTGTGTTCAGACAGTTCAACAGGCGTCAGGAGTAGGTCACTTGGGAGGAGGCTACTAGACATCCCAGTGACAGGTAAGAGCTTTCTAAGAGGGCTTCAGTACCAGCCAAGGTTCAAACTCACTGCCACTGGGTCAATTCTGCCTCTGGGTTTCTGAAACTATGTATCTTTGTAAGAACAGTCTCCTTTCTCCCAGAGGAACTGGTGGTTTGAAACAGCTGCGCTCCTGGCCTTTAGCCAGAGCTCATCAACATCAGCAGATTCACACTGGGGAGAAACTATTTAAGTGCAGCCAACGTGGGCGAGCTTTCAGCCAGAATGCCAACCTCACCAAACACCAGCGGACTCACATGGGAGAAAAGCCCTGCACATGCGGTGAGTGTGGAAGCTTTCTTACTGCTCGGCCCTTGCTCAGCACCAGCAAGTTCACACTAGAGAGAAGCCCTGTGAATGAATGCACTGCCTGCAGAAAGGTCTTGGTCACAGTGCAAACCTCCCAAACCACCAGCGGACTCACACCGGAGAGAAGCTCTACACATGCACTGGGTACCAAAGCACCTATCTTATGATTCATCAAAAACTCCTACTGGAGAATAGCCATATAAATGTAACGAGTGTGGGAAATTCTTCAGTGAGCTCCACCCTCATCCCGTACCCCATCATTCACACTGGAGAACCCTTATGAATGTAAGGGGTGTGGGAAGGCATTCAACCAGACTTCATCCCTCAGTCAGCATCAAAGAGTTCACACTGGTGTGAAGCCCTACAAATGTAGTGTGTGGGGAGGCCTTCAGGTGTAGTTCAGCTTTCCTGAGACATCAGACTCCGTATCTGAGAACTGGGAACACGGAAAAGTAGAGAAAACTGCAGGCATGGAAACTTACAGGTTTGAAAGAATTTGGGACATACAAGATCACCTGTAATAAACACAATATATAAGGTGTGAGAGCTCGTAACTTCAGCTAGCCTCACAGGGACTTAGGGACTCCCAGCAACTCAAGGTGAACTTGCATTCACCGAAGATTTACCTTTTACCTGATCTATTAAAGGATGCTTCTCTATTTAGTAGCACTCCAGAAGCTGTGAGGAACAAGTGGTCAGATTATAAAGAACTCTACACTGAGTCAAAGGCAGGCGATCAGGCAGTGCTTTTCCCTTTCCTGGGAGAAAGATGAGGCCCTCTGCTCCTGAGGTCTTGGAAACCCACAGGGCAGTTCTACCGTCTTATGGGGTGGCCGAGGTAAAATTCACTCCGTGGCAGGGCATTTTCCTTCCCCTAAGGTGCCCTGGTGGGGCGGTGGGTCTGCAATGGACCCTAAGTGCGAGGTCAGCAGTTTGGAACTACCAGCTGTTCCATGGAACACTGTCAGCACTGACCAGATGTCAGTGATGGTTCTGAGTTCCCTTTCCGTGACCTGTCAAGGCAGTTTCACAAGGTGAACCAAACCAGGCTTTGAAACGTTTGTTGCTTCTTTACTGCTAGTCTGGTGGGAGGGACGCTAAAATGAACACCTAGTGGTCGGACTCCTCAGTTGCGTAAGGAGGCCTATGGGCATAGTCGCTCAGCTTTGACAGGCTCCCAGACTGGCCTAGGAAAAGAAACCCTGTGAGGCAGGTCTGTAGCCTTTCAAATATCAACTAGGTGCACCCAAGCCTAGTTTGATTGACTTAATTGAATCTACTAAGTAGAACTGCCCAGGAACACTTTTCTGGTTTGTAACTATAATCCTTATGGGAGCAGACTACCAGATCTCTTCCCACCACCATCTAACTGTAGTCCCACAAAATTCAAGAGTTGTCAATCAGGAAAGCAATGTTAGGGCAAATCTGCACCCAGCCTCTGAAGTCAGTCAGCAAAGAAAGCTGTGAACCAGTCTGTCCTCATTATTTCAGCTACTGCGTGTAAGGTCTTCCTGAACCATCCAGCTTTTGTTAACCTGCTAAGTAGAAAAACCAGCCCCAGGGCAACGGGGAGAACGGGGTGATTAAGTGGTGGTACAGTTGAGGCCACCTCAATAGCCTGCTTCTTAATGCTACCATGGGATTGGTTTGGCACCCCTCCCTTTCAAGGGAGATGGGAGGACTGTGCTGGCCAAACACGCCGAAGCAAGCACCTCTCCCTGACAATGCTGTCTTTCCTACCTCGCATCGCTCACTCAGGTGACCAGAAATGTTCTCCTCCCCACCCCCTGGAAATTTCACGTAAGGTCAATGCAGGGAGCACTAACAGGTTCTCATGAGAATCATTTGCTCAAGTCTAGCACCCCAGAAACCCTATTCCAGGTGGTGCTTCTAATGGCTCAATAGGTAGTTTGTCTCAGTGCCAGGTATCTTGCTATTCAGTCCATTACTCTCATCACTAAGTTTAAGAGACAGTATGCAACAGGTCAGACTGATAAAAACCTTAAAAGATGAGACTTGGCAAAGATGGAGCATGCATCCCAAGGATTACCAGGCGATAAATATCAAGTGTCCACCCACAACACATCCTCATCTGAACTGTTCCCAGAGGGTTTGATACCCAATTGGCACCTCAAGTCCACTGACCATCCACACCCCCTGAGAAAAACCAACACCAAAAAAACCTGCTGGTTATTAAATGAGTCTTTATTGTTTTCTTTTTCAGTTCTTAACTCTGTGAAGACAAAAAAAGGAAATCCTATCAATATAAAAATGCTCCCATCCCAGTTCCTAGAACGTTCCCATTTTTATCAACAAGCCACCTCCCATTATAGCTTTTACTCCCCATTTTAACCAAACAAAACCAGTGGAAGTCACTTACTGCTGGGCACTCCACGGCCCCACTGTTGATGTCATCTATGATATCATGAGGGTGGCGCCCGTCAACATTGCAGCCCACAGACTGGGCGGTCCCCAGGATCTCTTTAATAGTCCCTGCGATTGAGAGAAGATGCCTTCAGTGCAGCTCCCCCTCACAGGCCACCACCTAACACAGTGAGTCATTCCTGGCTCAGCAACCCTACACTGCAAACGTCTCCAAGGCTGTAAAGCCTCCACAGATCTCAGCCTCACCAATTCCCCCCCCAAGAAGTGGCTGCTGGTGGACTTGAATTTCTGACCTTGAGGCTAATAAGAGTCAGCTCACAACATACAGGTCCACTCTCATACTAGGTTGGGAATACTCCATTTGGGGAAACAGGAATGGCACTCCAAAACCCAGAGTTCCATCTAGACTCAAAGTCTCCAGGGCTGCCCAGATGCAATGCTTCTCCCAAGATGGCCACCACAACCGTAAGCCAGTCTTTTGTTTTGGGTCTCAGCCACACATCCCAATCAAGGTCGTTCCAAGCTGTCCTGCTCTTACCAGAGAGTTCTCTGGCCAAAGATCGGTGCCGCATCTGGCGCGCGATGCCGACGATCTCATCGAAAGTGACGTTACCACTGTGCTTAACTGTAGAAAAGAAAACCGGTCATAACCAAGGCCACCCAGTTCACACCAGTCTACCATCATTGTCTTGACTGTCCCCATGCTTTCGGCACAGAGTCATCCACATGAAGAACAACCCTGTTTCCTAAGCTGGGGTTTACTCTCAGCTCACCACTGGATTGCACCAGCCAACAGAGAATGGTCGGGTGCAGTGGCGGGTGGCTGGCCTGCTATAGACAAATCAGTGAGTTCAAGTCAGGCTGTGGAAAAGCCACTTTACTAGGGCTTGGCTCTGGAGCATCTCCTCGGCTAACAGCTAACCCCAGGTTCTGATAGAGGAGGCCACGCAACCCTTTATTAAACACTGGATCGCAAGCCACCACTGGGCAGATTCCTGGGGGAAAGGGACACTTACTGTTTTTCTGCTTCTTTCTATCCCTGGGTGGCTCCTTGAGGGCTTTGATGATGAGGGCAGAGGCAGAAGGCACGACTTCAATCTACAGGAAGGAGAGATTCTAGATGTCAAGGAGCCATACCTCACATCTGATGCCAAGCTATATATTCTCAAGGGATCTTCAAATCTGACAGGGTCTTATTAGCTAAGGAGACATGAAATTGTGCTCCCAAGGTCGGGGACAAAAGCAGGAACTACTTCATTGCTGTAGGTGCAAGCTCTTATAAAAGAGGGAAAAAAAACCCATCTTATGGTTCCCATTTCCCAAAATTGGTAAGCACATGGTTCTCCAGCTAGTTATATATATTCTGAATGGGTGTACAGCCCATGTTCCCAGGCCATCAGCTCAATTCTCCCAACCACTGTAGCTGGGTCAGGTCTACTCCCAGGGCTCACACCCAATGAATGAATCACCTGGGCCTGTCTGTTCTGGATGGTCAGCTTCACAGTAATCCTCAAGCCCTTCCAGTCACCGGTTGCCTTGGCAATGTCATCACCAACCTTCTTTGGAGACTATAAATCGAAACATGCAATCACTTTGTGCCCCAAAACACAACTTCAAGATCTGCCTTGCTACCTCACCTGCAACATTAGATTCTCCCCTTTCCAGCATTCATTAAAATTTGAAGCACCCAACTTTACCTAGTGAAAGCACTGTGTTAATATGCAAGACATTAATATTCTTTGTCTAGGGCAGTGGTCCTCAACCTTCCGAATGCCGTGACCCTTTGATACAGTTCCTCCTGTGGTGGTGACCCCACCCAACCATAAAATTATTTTCATTGCTACTTCATAATTATAATTTTCCTAGTTATGAATGAGACGACCTCTATGAGAGGGTCTTCGACCCCCAGTTTGAGAACTGCTGGTCTAGGGCTATTAACTGGAGGCTTAAGGTCACAATGGTCAAATCCCTTACTCCCAAACCCCTCCTCCTCTCCAAAGGGATTATGTAGTGCACAGGTGGCTACAGTAGTTACATCAGAAATCACCAGGTTCTCACTTCAGACCAGCCGGCCAAACTGGGACTGACTCCCTCTGACATTGACTACGTTAAACTCCCCTAGCAATCACTAAGGCCTTATGACTGGGGGGTGTATCTGGAACAGAACTGTGCCAAGATATTCATGGAAACCCAAGTTCATTAAACACTGTCACATGGAGTGCTCACAGGGAGATGAGCAAGTAAGGTCAAAGCTGGTTCTATGTACACGTTTGCACTCAGGAGCTCTGGTGGCAGGTCACACATTGAGTTGCTAACCCACAAGATCAGTCATTCGAAACCACCCACAAGACAGTTCTAGTCTGTCCTACAGGGTCACTGAGTTACAAGTGGCTTGATGGCATTGAGCCTTGAGAAGTTTACATTTACAGGAGTCATGGACCGGTTATTAAATTCCCATCTTCATTCACCCCCAATCTCCCCGTTAGATGCTATTATGCTCACTTTCCTGACCAACACACACTGCCCAGTAAGTAGCAAAACCACTCGTGGTCCCCAAAACCCTGCCATGCTTTTTCTCCAAGCCAGGCCCTGGACCTGCTAAAAGCGGGTTTACGCCAGGGATTGTTCACAACCACCCTTCTACGGTTCCTGCTGCGTGCGTTCCAGTCCACTCCCAAGGAGACGTTTCCTTTACTCTTGTCAGACAGTTTAAGAACTTACCAAGCCCAGGGGGCCGATCTTGGGGGCCAGCGCGGAGGTGGCACCGACTTCCCCACCGGTGCACCTCAAGTACACTGGGAGAAAGAGAGGATCAGTGGTCACAGTGGCAGCCCCGTCCCACAGCCCCCCACTCCGCATCTCCCTGAGGCTGCCCCACCACCCAGAGCCTCCTTCCAAGTCAGCCAGAAACCTTGGAGGGGGGCACCCCTCTCGCTCCGCCAGCGAGCGCTCTCCTTTCCCTGGGGCGTGGGCCGCAACGCGTGCACGTGGGGCAGCGGCCTTCGGGGCCGCGAGCACACGTGCGCCTCACGGCGGGGCGTGCAGGTAGCTGCCGCCGCCAGCGGTCCCAGGGGAGCAGACAAAGCGGAAGCCAGCCTTACCCTAAGGCGTGCGGGCCGCCAAAGCGCCACGGCTCGTCCGGTCCTCCCTCCCCATCTACGCGTGGGGAATCGGAGGCCCAGACAGTGTTCAAGACACGCCAGCAGGGCCGCACCGCACCCTGATCGCAGCACCGGAAGCTCCCAGAAGGCCTCTAAAAGGCCAAGGGTCGAAAACCAGACGCGGGGAAGGCCGGTGCGGCGGGAGCCGCAGGCCTGACGGGCCGCGGCGAGGAGCGAAACTCCATCCGGCAGCCCCGGCCGCACCCAGAGCACCCACCGACTTTGATCTCGTTGGGGTCGAACTTGGGCGGCATGGCGGAGGCGGCTGGTGTCGGATGAACCCAGATGCGGGACGACCGAAGCGAGTTGCACCGAACCCTCCTCCGAGCCGAAAGACCGGAAGTGGCCCTGATCACGTCGGATATAGCTTCGAACGCCCAGCTATCGCGAGATCGGCAGTCTCCGCCCAGCCGGCCAACGACGCCCTTGCAGCTGGGTTGCTTGTGGGCAAACACCACAGGGGCACGGCCGGAGGGCCGGGCACCGCGGGGAGCCGTGGCTAGGCGATCCCAGGGGATCTCGAGACTGTTCGTTCCGGCGACGACAGGCACAAGAGCGCTGCTCCTGGGATCGCTAGCCCTGCTATCACCCCGGGGTCCCTGTCCCCGTCCTAGGGCACCGCCTCTCCCCTGAAAGATCCGCACCCCCTCGGGGACCCTTGACAACCCCCGGAGTGCTCTGCTTCTCTCCTGGTGGTGTCTATGCATCTTGGTTGCCGAAAGAATTTTAAGCAGATCTAAATCCGCTCCAGTTCTTAAGTTCTGGGATTCCGCGCTTCACAGCCTCTCAGACGTAGTCATCCCGGTTGGCAGGACTTTAGCTCCTGCGTTTTTGGAAGAGACCCGACTCCGGCCCCGGTTGGCGACTTGGCATCCATGACCAGCCCCACCGAGTGACCTATCCGCCTTGGAGCCCACCCGGGGGCCCGAACTTCGGGGCTGTCCATCTGCAAAACCAGGTCTGGTGCGGCTCTCCCCGGTACACAGGATGGGTGTGGTTCTATCCTTCGGGCCGTGACCTGGCCAGCCAGGGATGGGTGGTATGAGGGCTGGCTCCTGTGGGAAAGAGCTGATCTTGGGGGGGTCATTAAGTCATTAAGAGGGTGGAAACAGCTAGACCTTGGGAAGGGAGGGGGTGAGCGAGAGCTGGTCAGCAGGGAGCTGGGATGAGGAGCCAGTCGTTAGGGAGAGATGAGAGGTGGCACAGGGGGGTGAGCAGTGCGGTGCCCAGAGGGGCCTGAGCTGGCTCTGCAGGCCTGGCAGCATCCCCAGCCGACGCCCCTGTGGGCGGGGCCCTGTGATCTCTACCACGCACTCGGTGGACTGAGTGTATCCTGCACGCATCTCCGATTTGTCGCACCCAGCTCGTTAATCGGCCGCGGGTCCAGAATATGTTAGATGCGTGGCGCTACGTGGCTCGTGTTCATTAAGTGTTCCTTATCTAGACCAGGTGCTCTTCCGTGGGCAAGGAACCCTGACTGGGCTGTGATTAAGCACTCGGCTGCTGGTGGAAAAGTCAGAGGTTCAAACACTCGTGTCCCTCAGGAGAAACTGTCTCAGAAACTCAAAGAGGGAGTTCTCTTCTGTCCAGTAGGGTTGCTATGGGATTTCGTTTGTTTTTTTCCCCCCCGTGTTTCATCCCAAAGTATAAACCGCCCTGTTGATTGTTTCCTGCCCCATCCGTGTCCTTTAGTGAGCAGTGATATATGTGGTGTTGTGTAGACCTAGGGCAAGTGGTGAGCTGGCCTCTTTGAGTTCTGGGCAGTGTGCAGTGTGTGCTGACAGGATAAGGACTTGGAAGACTGTATCACCAGGCCGTGACCCTCCATGTCTTAACTTACAGACAGGTTAGAATCGAGTGACCCCTAACTATGAAGCTGCTAAGGTGCCGGATGATTGCTCTTTAATTTGTATTTTATTATCATTCAGGAACCCCGGGTTCGATGTAGTTAGGCTCCCCCAGGGTTGGTTTTGCTGGTATCGCTCTGACAGTATTTCAGGGCCTCGAAGTGATTCATCAGCCAAGTGCATCAGTCATCAAAAGTCCTTCTTAGAATGGACCTGAGGAAGCATTTCTAGGTCAACCCAACCCCCTGTCTAACGTGGAGCAGAGATGGGGGCCCAGATTGGGCCAAGGCTAGGTTTAAGGTCTCACAGAAGCATGTGGGTCACCTGACTGCTACGGAGGTGATCTTCTTACTGTATCTAGTTGACTGAGCGTGCTAAGCACCTGCAATGTGGAGCACAAGGGACAGACTGATGGGTGAGATCCACACAGCCCTGCCCTCGTGGGACCCTCAGTCCCCCACATCCCCTACATGCTCCGGGTTACTGGGTTACCTATTCTGAGTGTTAGGAGGGAATGCCACAGGCCCTGACTGCCCTCCTCACCCCGCCAGTGTCCTGAAGATCACTTCTGGGCAAAGCGAAGGATGCCGCTCTTCTTCCGGAAGCGGAAACCCAGCGATGAGGCTCGGAAACGCTTGGAGTACCAGATGTGTCTGGTGAGGGACAGTGTTTTCCTCTAACTCATCCCCATCTCTTCCTCAGCCTCAGGAGCCAAGGCTGCTTCCCTTCTGCCTCCCCAAACCAAGGGTTGTAAGGATGAACCCCCTGCCTCGCCGACCAGACCACTGAAGCCCCTGTCAGTGCGCCAGGAGTACCCTACTCCCCCTCTGTCATGCTGACCACGCTCATCGGTGTCCATTCAGTCTCTTGTCCCTGCTGGAGCTCGGGCTCTGTGGAAGCAGAGCCTGGTGGTCCACCTACAAAGAGTCTAGTTGACTGGGGTGGGGGTGGGGGTATCTCTGTTCCCCCTTTGCAGCTCCTCTGCTGATTCATTGCCTCTTTTCCGGGTGTGTCTGCTCTGCAGAGATGATTTGCTTGAAGACATCTTCTCTTCGTTTTACCCGTAGGCAAAAGAAGCTGGGGCAGACGACATTCTTGACATCTCCAAATGTGAGCTCTCCGAGGTAAACTGAGGCCAGTGTTCGGGGTGTACATTTAATATGACCTGTACTGCTAAGAAAGACAGGTTTGGATCCAGACCTTTTTAAAAGCCAGGACATGTGTCCTTGGATTTTGCTCTTGCCCCAAAAGAATTGAAGGGATCTTTTAGTTCAGCATAGTCTCCAAAAATCAAGTCTAGCAAGAAAAGGGCCCCACAGGCCCCTAAGATATCAGGAGAGTCTGGGGCCCTCTAGCTTGTGCAGAACATGGCCCTGGTCGAGCTCCTGACTGGGGGCAGGTTGGGGAGGGCAAAGCCAGCTCCTGCCCACCGATTGGAAGAGGGGGCTGACCACATCTCCATCCACACCCCTAAGCAGCCTTTCCCCAGGCTTAGCTGCTCTCTGCGGCAGCCTCTCATACCTGTCCTGGTCCTGCCGGCTCTCCCTCCCATGTAAGCCACTCAGGGAACACGCTCAAAACTGGCAAGAAGGGAGATACTGACGCTTCTCTCTCGCCTCTTAGATTCCGTTTGGGGCTTTTGCGACATGCAAAGTGCTGCAGAAGAAGGTGAGATGGGCTTCCTTTCCAGAGACGAGCTTATTGCACCCTGCGTATGTGAAACCACAGAGGCTTTCGGGAGCATTCCCCTGGGCATAGACCCCTCCTTTCTCTCGCTTTTCAGCCTGCAGTGTATGGCCACAGCTAGCAGAGCAGGCTTAGGGATCGGGCAGGACAGCCCTGGGTCCCATCCTGGCTCTGTCCCTCCCTGGCTTCATGGCTGGGGAAGTTTCCTCAAACTCTTACATCTCAGTGTCTTCGTCTACGAAAGGAAGACATAGCTCTTCTCTCGGAAATGTCAGGCTTCATTGCGCGATGGGAAATTATAGATTGTCTAGTACTGAGTTTGTAGCCTCATTGTCAGGAATAGCTACACTTAGCTATTACTCCCCCCACCCACCCCCACTTAGCTGCACTCAGCTAATAGCTCTCATCCAGGAGAGATGAAGAGTGAAGCGCGTGATTGTTTTCAGAAAACCACGGCCGCCTTGAGTGCAGCTAGGTAAGAGTATTCGAGATGTAGCGTCTCGGGCAGAAAGCATTCCACACTAACAAAAATAGGAGCACCGTATCCCCACTGGCATTAAAGCAGGGGCTGAATAGCTACCCAAAATAGCCAGACCCGAGCCCTGACCGCACGCCAGTCTCGGCTAAGTGCTTTGGGCCCATTAGTTTGCTCTTCATCGTGGCAGCCCGTGGACACAGAGCTTTCTTCGCCCCTTGTTCGCATGGAGACGAGGGAGGTAAGCTCAGGACCCCATTAGGATGGAAAATAGAGTTCCTTGCGCCAGGTTTCAAGGTCACCTGGAGCCCTGGTGGCATAATGGGTCATCCTTAGAAAAAACATGAGGTTTCCTGCTCCTATAAAGAGACACAGCCAATAATAATTTATAAATTATCAAGGGCTCAGGGGGGAGTGGGGAGGGGGGAGAAGGGAGGGAGGGGCAAAAATGAGCTGATGCCAAGGGCTCAAGTAGAAAGCAGGTGTTTTGAGAATGATGATGGCAACATATGTATGAATGTGCTGGACACAATTGATGGATGGGTGGATTGTGATAAGAGTTGTGTGAGCCCCTAATAAAATGATTTTTTTTAAAAAGAGAGACACAGCCTTAGAAACCTAACAGGACAGCTCCCCTCTGTCCGATAGGGTGGCTGTGAGTCTGAATGGATTTGATGGCAGTGGGTTTGGATTCCAGACTCGAAGTTTCCATGTTCCTGAGCTGCATCCCCCGTCGCTTGTGCCCTAGAGAGCAGTGACCGTGCCATTGGACACTGCAGGGCCACTTTGTGTCCTGGGCTGGGCGAGCCGCCTTGCCTTCAACCTTCCCCACCTGTTACTGTTCTTCCACCTAATATTTCTTCACACGGTGTCCACACAGGTGCTGATTGTCCACACGAATCACCTCACCTCCCTGCTTCCCAAATCCTGCAGCCTCTTGAGTCTTGCATCCATCAAGGTACTGTGTGGGGCCCTTCCCCCTGACCTCTGGGATTCAGCACTTTCACCAAGGCCCTGGCCCTGGCCCTGGTCCAGGCCCAGGGAGACTTTGCTTGTGTCTCCTCTATTACTGTTTCTGCCAGAGAAGTCTGAAGCAAGGAGCTCTAGTGACGTAGTGGCTTTGCATTGGGCTGCTAAGCCCAATGTCTGCAGATCAAAACCACCAGCCGCTCCAAGGGAGAAAGATGAGGCTTGCTTCTCCCATAAAGAGTTACAATCTCAAAAACTCACAGGGACAATTCTACCCTGTCCTGTAGGATCGGTATGAGTCTACATTGACCTGATGGCAGTGAGTCTGGTTTTGTTGTTGTTGTTTGGGTCTGAAACAATAATACAATAATTGATCTGGGATTGGATCGCCTTCTCTGTGTTGTGCTTGGGTTGGGAGTTACAGAGATAACCACAGTCCCCACCCTTTCCAGTGACCAGGAAAGACCCACCCCTGACTGAACTCCTCCTGGACAGAGACATAGTCATACTAAGTGTGAGATGTGACCTCACGGGACAGGAGGTGACAATATCTGCATTATCCCCCAATAAAATGATTTGGGGGGGAACTATACCCCAAATCTTTACGAATCCCAAGTTGTAATCTGTTACTTCCTTAATATCATAAAGGTGAGGGGGGGAGGAAAATACCATATGTAGCTTTTCTCTCTGGGGAACCACTGTCAAATCTTTAGCTGTGTGTTTTGCTGGTCTTTCTTCCACGCATAAATATGCCTATTATGGGGTGTTTTCCCTTTGGACATGAATTTCTTGGCATGCTATTTTATGGCGTAGTTTTTTCACTTGACAGTAATAGAAAACATTTGATAAAGGAACTACAGGGCATATGAATTTGAAAAACAGAAGTGGGGGGATGATCCAAGTTCCGCTGTGTGGAAGGTGGCTGCGTCCAGTTTCAACGCCGGAGGCCTGAGGCAGCCCCAAGACATCTTCTTTCCCATCGGGAGCCTGGGATCTGGTGGCTGGTTGGTGTCACACTTACCTTCCTCCTGCAGGTTCTGGACCTGCACGATAACCAGCTGACAGCTCTTCCGGATGACATAGGACAGCTGACGGCTCTCCAGGTATGGCTTCGAGACCCAGAAGGCCCCCTCCAGCCTGCCTGGGGGAAGCTTTTCGTTCACACAGGCATCTTCCACCAGTGCTCTGGCTCCTAGAAGTAGACCACGCTCCTCCTCGGTGTCCTCAAGCCACCAGAGGGCACCTCTCTCCATTGCAGTCTGGCCTGTGGGTGTCTCACTAGTGTGGTTTGGGGCAGAGGCTTGCTGGAATTTCTTCAGAAGCTTCCACAAAAGGGTCCGAAGAGTGTAACCCCTTACAGTGGAGGAATTCAGACTGGGTAATCGAGCGCTCACGTTGTGCCCGGCCTTGGATAAGCCCTGCACTGGCCCTGCCCGTTTGTCCTCATAGCCGTTTTAAGAGGGCAGGTCCTATTGTTGTCCCGCTGCACTTATTTCCACATCAGGCTCTTCCCTGTGACCAATAAGACCCTGGACAATGGGCCCCACCGGCCTTTCTCCCCACTGCTCCTCTACCGCAGCACCTTTGCACGGGCACTTCCTCCTGCCCACATACCTGTCCTTTGCCTGGCTCACCCTTCAGCTGTCTGCCTAAAGACCGCCTCTGAGCAGTCTCTCCCACATCCCGGTCCAAGCAGATCTTCAGGAGGAGCCTCGCCCAACACCTGCCTAGTCCCCTGCCCACACTACTTGCCCCTGTAATTACCAACTCTGTGTTTCCTGCTTTCTGACCTCCTCCCCTCCTGGAGTGCAGTCTCAGCAAGGGCAGTGTCTTTACCCAGCAGGTGGAAGAGCCAATTCGAGACTTGAATGAGCAACCCCAAGACATGGGTGATAGATGCTTACAGATGAGATGCTTACAGATGGAGGCCGGGAGGGATGGACAGAACCCGTGGTAGAAGGACAGTCATTGCCACCATGTAGAGGGAGCCACAGTCAAGCCCTCGGCGTCGGTGGTTGGGGCTTTTTTATGTGCAGTGGGATTATCTCTGGATGCACAGTGTTGACAGTTTTGGATACCTGATAACTCATCCCGTCCTTCTGATTCATCAGTCATGGAGCGCATTCTGTCCGTGTCTGTTTCGCTCTCCACCCTCGTCTGTTTTTAATGGCTGCTTATTATGCCATCCGCTGGCCTCCCTGCCCTGTGTTGCCACCTCCTGACGAGGGCCTCACCCTTGGAATCCAACCTGCCCAGTCGGTTCCAATCCCTGCCAATACATTCCTTTCCTGTCCCTTCACATCGGTGTCCTTAGAGGCTGCCTTGCTGTGGTGCAGTAAGTGGCTTAAGCTTGCTGTTCTAACCACGAGGAGCCTGGTGGCAGAGTGGCCCGCTGTTTGAACCCACCAGCTGCTCCATGGGAGAAGATGAGGCTGTCTGCCCCTGAAAGCGTCAACGTCTCAAAAGCCCCCAGGGGCAGTTCTGCGCTGGCCCTAGGGGTGGGAATTGACTCAGTAGCTTCGAGTTTGTGTATTGACTCCCACACGATGAGTGGGTGGGACCATGTAAATAAGATATAT